TTTGAATTGGCGTCACAGGGGAAAAATGTTGGGTAAGTACTAATGCAAACACACAAATTCACTGATTGGCAAATCCTTACTAGCTTCCTGTTCCACCGAGCTCCAGAGACTATGGAGTACTTATTATCTTGTTTCCGATTCCATTTCCATTTTTAACCGATGCTTCTGCCTCAAGTTTTAGCTTTCACTTTAGTTGCTCCATTCCTATTCAAAAATGCATGACTTCCTGAAGACCTGGTTAGATCAGACCTGGACTATTGCAAACAGTTCTGGGAAGCACATTAATTCCACACACCAAATGGTCTCTCAGCATCTCGTTAAGGGTTAAACCAAAGTCACGTGCCTCTGCCAGTCATATTAATCTAGTCAAAAATCTTGATACGGATTCCCCTGGTTCTCAAATTGCCAAGTAAAATGGTTAGCATCTCAGAATTAGAGGAGGCTTGGGTCGTAATATTCCTTAACTAAATCTGTTTACTCTTGCGCAATTAGGGCAATATTAAAGGTGTTTTGATTAGAGTCAAAGATAGAGAGATAGGGTAGACTGGGAGAAACCATCAGCTTCTTAGCTGAGAGACCATTTGGTATGTGGAATTAATGTTATAACCATGCAAAAGTGCCTACTGGCTGAAACCCAACTGGACTTCAGACACCACAACTGGATTTATCATCAGAAACTGCAGCCTGTGGAGCATTTGAGTTGCAGGGTATTCTGATGGAAGTGGACACGCTTGCCAGTCCAATTGAGCTTGGGGAACACCACCTGAGTGAAATCCTTAGCTTCACTCAGGACATATCCCGAACAGAGGGACTCTAGGTCAGCCCACAGTAAAACCTTAAAACAAAGTCAAGCCTTGGCCATACAGTAAAAATTTCCCACCAGTATGTGGACTCTAGACAGTAAGAGATTCCCATCAGACCTAAACTGAGTAAGCGAACTCATAGGCCAGTAGCCAGAAGAGTGCACACCCTGGAAAGTTTGGAACAGTTAAATTGGTTAGTAACATCCAAGTCAGAACCAATCAAAATAAATATCTGGTTAAATGGTCACCTGATTGTAATGAAGGTCAATACCGGCACGGCTGTTTCAGTGATCGTAGAACCAGTCTTTAAGAAAATTCGCTCTGGATGCGAACCCTTAAGTTAGCAGGGATTCTTTACATATTAAGGGTACAGTTCTGGTCTCTTGTGAGAAGCAGCTGGTTCAGTTACCACTGACGGTAGCAAAAGGATTGTTCCCAAGCGTGATTGGTTGAGAAAGATACACCTAGATTGAAAAATGTTGAGCCAATCAGAAAATGGCTGCCTGAGCGAAGTCCTAATTAAATTCCTGGAGGCTGTTCAGGAAGGTTTAGGGACTATCAAAGGAGCCAAGAACACCTGGTATGTTGACCAGGAAGCAATTCCCCATATAGGCAAAAGTAAAGATAGAAATCAGAAGCCGGAAAGTGAAGGAATTATCAAGCCAGTCCAGTTTGCAAATTGGTAGCACCAGTCATACAGACTCTGAAGCGCAACAAGTCAGTTCACCTTTGAAGGGATTTTAAGGGAAACCATTGTTTTGCTGGATGAATACTGAATTCCTAGCATAGAGTATTCATATTGCAAAGCTGGCAGGAGGGCGGTCCTTCACAAAGCTGGACATGAGCCATGTGTACTTGCGATTGCAGTTAGATGAGGATTTCCAGAAGTATGCTACAATTAATACCCATAAGGGTTAAATACCCATTTTATATCCCAAATGGTAGTCTCATATCATCAGTTTGTGCAATTTTTCTGCAGATAATGGAGAACATTTTACATGGTCTACCCCAGATCGCCATTTATATAGATGATATGCTAATAATAGGGAAGAGTAATATGGAACATTTAGAGAACTTGGACATAGTCCTTAGACATTTCTCCTAGAAGGCTGTATGCCTTAGGAGGGAAGAATGTGTATTCCAACCATGGGAACTTGCTTGGGCTACAGGGTCACCTATTGGAAGATAAAGTGAGGGCAATCAAAGGGGCCCTGGCTCCCACGTCAGTAACCAGAGCTTAGGTCTCTCCTTGGGCTGGTGAGCTCTAATGGAAAGCTTATACATCACCTGGCCTCCATCCTGGCTTCTTTGCATCAATTCTTAAAAAAGGGGTTAGCCTTGGAAATAACTGTGTAGCCAAGACATAACGGTTTCTTCACTTCCCTGAAGGCCATCGTCCTCTGAGGCGTGGCATACAACAATCCCAAGCGCAAATTGGTATTGACATGCAATGCTTCCCTTCCAGATGGGGGTGGTATTAACTCGGGGGTGGTATTAACTCATAGGTGGCCCAATGGATAAAAACACCCAATAGCATATGCACACAGGACTTTTGCTAATGCAGAAGGTAAACACACAGAAGGAAGTTTTAGTGGTCGTATTTGGAATCAGGAAGTTTCATTAATACCTTTATAGATGCAAATTTGTAATAATAACGGACCACAAACTCCTGCTAGGTCTGTAATTAAAAAGGACAAGGAAGTGCTGCCCATAGCTTCAGGTCGAATTCAGCGGTGAGCTCTAATACTAAGTGCATATAATTATAAGTTGGAACACCATCCAGGAGCCAAGTGGCAAATGAAGATGCACTGAGCTCCCTCCCTCTGGCAGATACACCTCTGCCACTGGAAGAGTCTGGAATGCTTTTAAGTTTTCCGAATACACTTACAATATCAGACTTTGGACGCAGAAAGATCCAATCCTGGCAAAACTGAAACAGCTGGCAGCGATAGGGGTAACCAAAGGGCTGTCACGAACAAAACCGAAACCCTTTTGGACCCAGCGAGACCAGATCACTGTTGAGGACAGCATACTATCATGACGAGCAACAGTGATTGTCCTGAGCAAAGGTCACTGTCAGATACTGGCTGAACTCCACCAAGGTCATCCAAAGGTTTCCAAAATGAAGATGTTGGTGAAAAGTTATGTCTAGTGGCCAGGATTGGAGGCAGACATAGCTGCATTGGTGAGGCAGTGCCCTGAGTGCCAATAAGGACAAAAATACTGCCAGATGCTCTCCCACGTCGTGGGAATGGCTGGGTAATCTCTCATTACATGTTGACAATGCAGGTTCTTTCATGGTCTCAATGTTCTTAGTCATTGTGGATGCCCACTCAAAATGTCTGGACATGCAAGGAGTTCATTCAGCAAACACAGGGGTGACAATAGAAAAACTGCCCATGTATTTTGCAATACATGGACTCCCGGAGTGATCACAGAGGATGGGTCATTGTTTTCCAGCAGGGATTTTGAGTATTTCCCAAAGTTGAATGATACTTGTAATATAAGGATAGTTCCATACCATCCATCATCCAATGGTCTGGCAGAACGAGAAATCCAAATTTTGAAGGCAGGCTTAGAGAAACGGCCTACAGCTTCATTCAATACCAAACTATCCCGATTCCTATTTAATTATAGAACCACCCCTCATGCAACTACAGGGATTGCTCCAACAGAGTTGCTAATGGTGAGATCGTTGGTGGGGGAGGGGGGTGAAACAGCATCAGGACATCCAATGCCAGACACAAGACACCACTAAACAAGAGACAAAGCTTACTTCAGGGGACGAAGTTTGGTGAATGAACCATTAAAATGGTCCTGTCTGGGTAAGAGGCCTAGTCAACATGAGGTTAGGTTGGGATACGTGTGACGGTCCTGAACAAGCATGTGGACCATATGAAAGCTGCAAAACATGCCCAACTCGACTGCCTTTCTGAAGGGTCTAGGCCCGAAACGTCAGCCTCTCTGCTCCTATGATGCTGCTTGGCCTGCTGTGTTCATCCAGCCCTGCACCTTGTTGTCTCGGATTCTCCAGCATCTGCAGTTCCTACTATCTCGACTGCCTTTCTGACTGTTCTGGAACCCATGGGTGGTCCCTCTCTGTCAAGCGTTGAAGATACCTTAGAATCAGGAGACGGACGCAACGGATGTTGCTGCCTTAATATCTTTGCTGCCTGAAAAGGAGAATGAATTTCTTCCCAAGATACTCTGGGTGCAAGAAGCAAGCTACTGGGCATTACACGCCGCCTATATCACAGGCAGAGTCAGAGGAACTCTAACGTGCTGAAACGCCCCAGGAGGAGTTACAAAATAAGAAAAAAACTATCCTTTGTCCTCGGACTCAGAGGGGGAGGGATGTAGTGATTGCAATGAGATCAGCCAGGTGGACGTCATAGAATGAGTTCCCCTGAGCCTGTTAATCTGATCCAATCAGGGAGCCTTGGCTGACAGATAAGAACAGGAGCATCAGAGGTTCTGTTGACTCTGACAGCCGGCTCTGAGGAAGCTGGATTAGCGTCAAGGGCTCTCCATGTGTAAATAAACGGTGACTTGGTGATGGGATACTCGCCTCTCTGGAGTTATTTCATGGTGCTTCCTGCAAATGGTGGCAGAAAGGTAAAACTCTTCAATGAGCGGCAACTGATGCTAGGTCAATTGTTAGTTTTAAAACCCAGTGATATATTTTTATTAGCCAAAGATGTTAGGGGTATGGGGTGGAAGTAGGTATATACATAGATATTGGTTGCAGATCAACCAAGATCTTACTGGATGGAGCAGCAGCCTCAAGAAAGCAGGCCATTTAGCCCTGATCTTGTTCCTATGTTCTTTGATTCCAGTGGTTAGTTGTGACCCCTGTTCAAATGGATTTTCTCTCTCAACCTCTTTGCAACTGAACCTCCTTAATATTCATCTATTTGAACAAACATTTAGTTACCCAGTCTAATACGTTCATCCTTGGCTTGGTGTTAATTTGTATCCTGCAAAACCTTCCATATGTTTAAAAAACCACAATATAAGTGCATGTAGTATGACTGCTCAAATTAAACACAATCACACTATCTGCTCGACCTCCAAGACTTAAGTAATGGAGTGTCTGACAGTTTGACTATTGTATTCAGCAAAATTTTCCATAATGAAACTTAATTTTGCTCATTTGTGGTGGCCTACAGAGAAAAAAAACGTGCAGTAACATTAGCAGGCTGTAGAAAGTTAATTCTTTATTTATTTTTCAACCTTATGACTCCAAAAGTTTTCTCACGTCAGGTCCATCCCTAATGTCCTGATTCCTGGCCAGCCTTACATCAAATATAGCTGCAATATTAGAACTGTCTTTCATCCAACAATTATCTGGCTTTTAAAACTAAATACTGCCCAGTATCTCTCAAAGACTGCCATAGCTCTCAGCTGTTCATAGAGTCAGAGATACAGAGCACGGAAATAGACCCTTCGATCCAACTCATCTATGCCGACCAGATAACCTAAATAAATCTAGCCTCATTTACCAGCATTTGTCCCATATCCCTCTTAAACCCTTCCTATTCATATACCCATCCAGCCTCCACCACTTCCCTCTGGCAGCTCATTCCATATATGCATCACCTTCTGTGTTTTAAAAAAAACAGTTGCCCCTTAGGACCCTTTTATAACTTTCTCCTCTCTCCTTAAATCTATGCCCTCTAGTTTTGGACTCACCCACCTTGAGGAAAAGACCTTGCCTATTTACCCGAACAATTCAATGCCAGTGTTTATTCCCACAACAAAAGATGTGGTCAGCCCTTAGACTGTGACCACAGCAATTTATCTGTTTAATCCTGCCAAACCAAAACGTGAACAGGTATGGTCACATTACCAGTCAATCCAGCAATACTGAATAATGGAAGCTTTACTGATCTCTTCACTGTGGGGAAACTTTGCAAGTTAGCAATGGGGTTATTCATGTGCCTCCTGATCCTGGAAACACAGAGAATGATGTAACATGGCCTCTAAACAAGGGCCAGAAAATTGTCAATGCGTAGAGATTTAGAGTTTTACCTAAATCTCCACCTTTTTCAAGGAAAGGTGAAGTTCTGAATCGTAGATACAGCACACTGTATTTCTGCATTTACAAGTCATTACTAAATTTTTGAATTATCTTATTCTGATTCTGTTGTGTTAATGTTTATAAGTAATTTTAACATTAATAATGAACCAAACAGATCATTTTACCTCAACTGTTTTCTGGATTTATGACAAAGAAATAAATCCTGGTGTTTAAACTTGAGGAAAAGAAGGTAACACACCAAGACTAATAGTTCAGCTATAAATGGCTTCAACACATTGATTTGAGACTTCAGTTTTGACCATTATCTTTTACTTCAAATTCTTTTTAGAATTTGCTTTTGTTTCAAATATCTTAACATTTTATGTCGCATCAAATTCAATTTTCTCCTTGTACTGATATGTTGATAGTGCCAGTCACCTTATCATTTAAAATAGTTTTATTATTTTATCTAGCAGTCAATTATTTTTAAAGAAGCCAATTTTTCTCCAGTTACTGTTTTCAGTGACTTATCTGGTATTGTACTACATTTTCACTAGAAAACCAACAATAAGCAATGGCTTTTTGCAATTTTACACATTTTTTACATGATTATGTACCATTAAAATGTCACTAAAACAGATACTTTATTCCAATATACAATTATGTATAAAATATTAAACATTAAGTATTAAAGATACATTTGAAAGTGTCTTTTGTACATATTTGCATAGTTTAAGTTAACTAAGCTAGTTCCTTGTGCCTTCAGTTATAAATGTTTTGGTTAATAAATCAGAACTTTATAGTCCATTTTTCTTGGATGCCAAGTTGGTTTAATTTTCTCCCCACAGTCGTAAAATGATAGAATGACTTGTGTTGTATTGTACATATGTCACGTTTTCTGAAAAACAAGGTGCTTTTAATCACTTCTATCTCGAATATAGACAAGGGAGGACAAGAGCAACAGCTCTGGAGGTTTATTTAAAAAGACCAAGTTCTCAGTTCTAAGCCCATCATAATGCATCCAATTACCATCAATCATAAAAGCAGCAGAATAATGGTGTTCTTCCTTGTTGAAAAGTGTTGCCCCCTCCAGTGTGTATCTAGGGCCCAAAGAGACAATAGTTAGATTTTTTTTAAAAGGGTACTACCATTTCAACATTTATTTCAACTAGAAACTATTGTAACATTAATGGTCATCTTGTGTTTTGCCAAAGGTTTACAAACCGGAATGAACAGGTACTCTCTCGCTTTTCAATTCAAATTATCCTACAGTGGATAGGGCCTTCAATTTTTTTTTTTATTTTGGACTAATGTATTTTTCTCTTCCGTATTGATGAGCTTAAATTTTTCCATCCACTAGGTACTACAAAATACTTCATGAAGGCTTCTGCATAGTGTGAAACTAACCCCAACCCTATCTATTTATTTTACAGCCTCAAAAAGGCAAAAGTCTAAGTTCAGAACTCTTCATACCATAAAGTTCTTTCAGCAGAATGACATTACACACAAGTAGTCAGTTTACTTAAATTTAATAGTGATTTCAAGCAGTATTCAAATGTCTAGACAAAGGAAACTGGCTGAATGATTCGAGCAGTTTGTAATGACATTTACGACTGAACTTGTTCACTTTACATAAAAGACTAGCATTCCTGCAGCTGTTTAAGGCTTTGGTGAGACCTTATCTGGACTACTGTGTGCAGTTTTGGTTTTCTTACCCAAGAAAAGGACAGATTTTCCAAGAAGGGAAAGCCGAAGGTTCACCACACTGATTCCTGTGATGACAACTTCTTCATAGATGGAGAGATTGGTCAACTATGTCTGTAATCACTGGAGTTTAGGAAAATGAGAGGATCTCATGGAAATGTATAAAGTCCTGACAAAACTGCACAAACTGCATGTAGGGATGTTGTTTCTCCAGGCTGGGCTAGGAAGTCCAGAATAAGGGGTCTCACTTTCTAAGGAAGTGCAGTAGGCTATTCCAGACTGAAGAGAAGAAATTTCCTCACTGTGTGGACCAAAGGAATTGTCTACCTCAGAAGGCTACAGGCCAAGTCACTGAATCTATTTCTGAAAAATTAGATTCCTAGAAGCTAAAAGGGCATTAGAACAGCAGAATTAAGGTGTTAAAATGGAGGATCAGTCATGATCGTGCTGAACAGCAGAGCAGGCCCAACAGGCTAAAGGCCTACTCCTGCTTCTATTTTCTTTATGGTGAGGTTATTTCAAAAATACCATGAAGGAGGAAATTTTAGGATTCTGATCCAGCAGAAAATCAAGAAATGGCAATTCTGTTCCAAGTCAGGATGGTGTGTGACATGGATAGGAACTTGCAGATAATGATGTTCTCATATATCAACTGTGTTTATCCTCGTAGGTGGTAAAGATTGTTGGCGAGTAGATGGCTACTGAAGAGGCACTAGTGAGTTGCTGAACTGCTTCTTCTAGATGAGGTACAGAGCAGCCACTATATGCATGTCATAGTCAGAGTCTATGTTTAAAGTCGGCTGAACTTTCCTGGACAGTACCACTTCTAACATTATAGGAACTGGACTTAGTATGTGGAGAGATTTTCCATCACACTCCTGACTTGATGGAAGGACTTTGGGAAGACAGAAAACCATAGCATTTCC